CTGCCTTTTCAAATCGGTCGCCCTTCCATTTGTTCTCTGTCTTTGGTTTAATCACACAGACGCCACTTTACCTTCCTGGGGCGGACTCCTAGCCAGAGCTCTGGCCACTGTGACCCTAACGTTACTCTGCCACGAGGCTTGCTCATAGAGTCGTTGCCCCAGCACAGTGATGGATTGGTCACACTCAAGATGGGCGAAGGCGAGGGCAGCTTTGTGCTCTGTTTTGGTTTTGTTGTTTCAGGGGAGGGATCGTGTTTTCTCTTCTTTCAATATTAGATCTCAAGGACCTAGACTAAACTTCCCCCCTCGGTTCTGCTGTGGAAGCAATTGCTCAGCATTGCTGGGCATTCACACATATGAAAGCAGCTTCTGTTACAGGGCATTCATGTTGGGCACTCCGTGGGATATTTATACACAACTTGAGTACCAACAGAATGAAGTGACACATTCACACACAAACTCTGCTGGAGCCTGGGCTTCTCAGGGTTTTGAGTCCTGGTTCTGAAAACTGTCGGGTATAAGTGACAAACTGGCCCAATTCCAGCGTCAGCCTGGTCTCTCTTGTCAGGAAGCAGCCTTCTCTGGCTCAGTCACTCAGACTGCATGTAAGCGACCGTCCACATAGAGAGCTAGATGCTATTTGGCCATCATGCCTCGTTTCCCAGGAAGCATTGCCAACAAGTTCATTGTTGAACATTGCTCAGGAGTGGTGTTTGCAGGGGACGTGATGAGAATCTTCTGACTGGCCCTTTCTCCATGTGTCTGTGCCACTGGGACTTCGTCAAGGGGCTTCACTCGTCCCAAGCATTGCTTCTGTCTGTCCTCACCCTTCTCCAGAGACCTGTGTATGAAGCCCATCCATTCTCACGATATGGTACCTCACGCTAGCCTGTCTGTCACTGTTGAGTGAAAATGGTCCCGACGGCTCAAACAGTAAGGCCTGACTGTTCTTCATTAAGGGAGCTCGGGCCAGCACCACATACAGACTTTATTTTAAAATATGCTGTGGTTGACTGAATTGGATAAGATATTCAGAAACTAGTGGGTATTCAAGAGGAGCTGACTGTTTGAACCGCTAAATTCGAACGGTCGTGGAAAGCCCGGGTCCCCTTTCTGCTTTCGCCCTGGATCACTGGAAACTGTGACTTTAAAATTGGTCTTCTGTTCATTCCTTCCTTTCACCCAACGCCAGCCCTGTACTGGCCGGTGAGTGTGTACTGTGTGTGAGATCCCCTCAGTGAGCAAGACAGGAATCTGCAGAATGTTGTTGACGTGTGTGCGTGTACGCTGAGAAGCAGGCAAGAGGAGTCCCTCGGGGAACTGCATCGTACCCCCTGCTCCTGAGATCTTCTTGTTAGAATGACCTGGTTTTAAACACAGCCAGTCCCAGCTGAGATAGTTTCATATAAAAAGAAAAGTTCTTCTGCTGTTCTTAGGTCAGCATGGTTAAATGACAAACCACGTCACACTGGGACACGTGACAGAGGAACTGCTGCCGTGCTGTGGACGCGGTGGAGTCAGTGTCCTGGGGCCTGCGACACAGCCGACTTTGTCCCCTCATGGTGTGCGGTTCACTGGCCACCTCGGTGGTGTGTTGGCAGAACAACAAAACGCCTTCCTCAGACGCCCATCATACTTCTCCCAGGAAGCCAGTGGGCCTCCATTGCCTCAGCCATTGTGGAACCAGGACAGACAGCGGCCATTTGTAGTCAAAACCACCTTAGCCTGTCAGCCCGTTGGGGTGATAGCCAGGGACTCACAGAGCCAAGGTCGCGGTGGAACACTACCTTTCCCAGGCAGTGAACGTTGCAGTAGCGTATACATTTAGAAGGTTTCCTTCATCAGTGTGTATCTCTGCCTGTTTGTGTTTCGTTGTTGTTTTCTTTTTGAAAAAAGAAAATGCCCAGTGATTTATGTCTTTGCTTTCCTGACCCCATTAGAACATTCCAGAAAGGGACTTAGCGGTCTGTGAGCGCTGCATGTGAGAAGGCACGTCTGCAAAGGGGCTTGGCCCTTCGCTTTCAGCGGTGGTGGTTTGCGGCCCAACAGATAGGCTGCCTTTCCTTGTGCGCCTCAGAGGTCCTGTTGCATCGTCAGGACGGTGACAAGCCCTGGAGTGCTGGGTCAGCCAGCGAGCTGGCTGTCTCAGGTTCCTTCCAGAAGGCAAGTCGTCGGTCTCCAGAATGCAGCATGGTGCACTGAAAGCCCGTTGCTGCTGTCGCTGCTGTCAAGCCCGTCTTGCTCACTCAGAATGACCGCTGGTCTTGGCTGCAGTTTGCAAGAAGCAATCCCTAGGGTTTCTTCTGTGATGATGGTAAGGTGGGCGGGTCTATTCCCAGTTAGACAGGTGGCTGTGTTCGTGGCTGCCTGGCTCCTGTATTCCCAGCAGGACTTAGGTCCCTTCCTGCTGCTTCCCTCTTTGCATCTCCAGGAGGCCGGCAGCGAGCAGGGGAAAGCTGCTTCCTGGAGACAGACAGCAGGACGCATGGCTAGCGGCACAGTTGAGAACGGAACACGGGTCTCCTGACCCCTGGCTTTTCACCTGGACTTTAAACTGTAGGTGTGTTTTCACTGAGGGCCGTGGCACGGTGGGCCCTTTCAGTCTTGCGTCATTAAGGTGTCGTCATGGTAAGGACGTTTTCGTGAACCTCTACAGTGCACACCTTCATCCGCTTCGGTGACTGAAGAAGGGCAGTGCTGGTGGGAGGAAACTGATGAAAGTTGATGGGCCTTTGGGGTTCTCTCGTTTCATCGTCTGCCCGCTGGGTTTTCTGTCCTAGTTCTCTTTGCACCTTAGTTATGAACAGGGTGCCTGAGTTTCATGGACATGTTAGTTACTCTTCATCCCAGACTCAGTTTAGCGGGAGACTGTCATGGTGGCCCTCCTTCCGGTCACCATTTTACAATGAGGAGGGTGTTCTGTGTTCATTGTTTAACAGATCTCTTCCAGTCCCTGTCATGTGCAGGGCACTCACAGAGACAGCAGGCCTGAGGAGGTACAGGCCCTCCTCTCAGGAGGCTGACAGACCTCCAGAGTCAGGGTGTACACACGTGTCATCTCAGCGTACAGAAGACGGGGCCGTGCAGGGCACAGGTGGCACAGAGCTGGTTTCGAGAAGGCAGAACTGATGCCAAGCAGGGCAAGGGGGCCTCTAAACTGGATCTAGAAGAGCGGGAGGAGGCTGGCTGTGAGTTCCAGTCGGTAACGGGAGCAGGCTTCCAGAAAACACAGCCTGTGCCGACACTAAGGCTGTTCTCCACACGATTTATCTGCTCACAATATGAGAGCGGCTCCAACACATGCCACTTGCTTTCTGTTGAAACAGTTCCATAAATACGAAATGGTTGGGTGGATGGCAGCACCTCAGAAGGCAAGCTAAGGTGTTCACGTCCATCCCAGCGTTGCCCACGAGGATGCTAGGACTCTGACCGTATAGGAATATGTTTGTAGCTCTCAGGCACTTTTCCAAGAGTTGATGACTGAGAGGTTAAGCAGAAGCCCTTGGAGGACTTGGCTTCACTCTTGGGGACCTGCAGTGGGTGCTGCCACCCCCCTGTTGCTCAAGGAGGACTCTGGGTGAGCCGGGACTTGAAGGCTGAGGGCACACACGTCTCCCAGAGCTGTCCTCCTCCCAGAGCAATGGTCTGTGTTTGAACTTTTCTACAGGCCAGGAATTTAATTCCACTGAAATCACTACACAAAACGAAAAGTATTTTGTTGCGTTTTTGTTTTTTAATGATTAATCTTTAAAATAATCTTTAATTTTTGTTGTTGTTATTGTTGTTACTATGCATGAAGAGCCAGTAGTAATAGTTTAACAGTGGGAGAGAGGGTTGTAATAATAATTAATTTGTAACAGATAAGCCCAATAGCTGTGGATTTTTACCTCATTAGTTTAACTCCTAAGATAAAAACATTATTATCCAAAACTTTGAAAAGTTTTCTAAAGGTATGGGATTTACATAAGAAAAGCTTGACTAAGCGGTGGAATCTTTGAAAGTTTTTGCCTCGTTGTCATCTTTCTTTTGGCTTTGTAATTTTCCCTGGGAGAATTCAACTACTGTGCAGAGTGAATCGCTTTGCCCTCCCCAGTCTCCTTACAGAGGTTAGAGAAATGACATTGTCTGACAGTTGTCTCCTTCAGATCAAAGAGGAGTAGCCTCTCCTCTTTGCAAGAGTGGGGGGGGGGGGGACACGTGTCTTTCACAAAGCACAGGCCAAATCTACCTTAGTACCCAGACGTGACTGTATGAGGTGAGCCTGTGTCCTTAGGATGGGATGGGGGCAGCGGGGGAGGGACGTCCTGTAGTGCATTAGGGACACTGGCAGCTCATCTAAGCTACCCTCCTCCTGTAGAGAAAATCCCTACCTAAAACAAATGGATTCGGACATCTGCGACGTCGTTTTAAAATAGGGAAATAGGCTATATTTTTTACAGTACCTAATTTTTCAAAGTTAAATAATAAGCGTTCATGGAAGGTTTGGAAATACTTTGATATTTATCAGATCAGAAAATTTAGATGAAAGCAAAAAAATTTTTAATGGCCTTCCTGGTCTCTGTACCTTTTGTGTTTCATTTCTTGACTTTTGTTTTCTGACACAAGAGACTAAGAAGTGTTAACAGTCAGGTCTTAGTACACGTGAGAAAATGAACTCGGCTTGCTTTGTGATTTCTGTTCTTATTTCACGTGCCCCCTTTCCTCTGTCCCTCTCTGTAAATAACTTGGGACACTTGGTTTGAAAAGACACTTGTAATTGACTGTGGAACGTGCTGTATCTGGAATTGTTAAACAACATATTAAATAACTCCTTAGCTAGAGAGTTCAGCCTCTCTCCAGGAAACAAATTCTTCTCAGCAAACATGCTAAGGCGACATCCGCCCCTTGCCCCTTGCCCCTTGCCCCTTGCATAAGTGAACGTCCACAGTGGTGGCGGGGACCCTGCTGCTGGTCTGTGGGCACGGTCAGTATATGTGGGCCTGTGCTTTGTCTCTCCACAGGCAGGGCAGCTTTCCCGGCATGAATCAGAGTGGACTGATGGCTTCCAGCTCTCCCTACAGCCAGCCAATGAACAACAGCTCGGGACTGCTGAACACCCAAGCCCCGCCCTACAGCATGGCGCCCAACATGGTGAACAGTTCCACAGGTAACCTGTGCTTGCCAAGACTGGCCTCTCTTCCCCATCTCCTTGTAGGTGCCCCCCAGTGAGTGTGCAGCTCAAGGAACCGGACCGTCGGGCCAGAGAGAAAAAGACCACGTTTCTGCTTCTAGTGTACTGGCACAACCTATTTAACCATTTTAAGTCCTGATGCTGACATTAGCTCTTATGGAACTTATTTTGATTTTTTTCTATATTTCTGTTATGTAGACATATTATAAGTATCAATGGAGATGATTTGCTCAGTGTACACACATCTTTGGGCATTATTAGGAATATTGAAAGATCCCAAGACAAAATCTATACCAGTCCGTTTTTACACTGGTGGAGAAAAATGTTTAAAATTCATAGTTCAGAGGAAATAATTGAAGGGCAGTGGAAGAGGAATGTCTCAAGCTAGGTTCTGTAGAGGAGCAAAATCCATGGCACATACATACATAAACCTATAAAGAGAGCTTGTGTCAAGTAAATGGCTCACGCAGTTGTGGAGGCTGGGGCATCTGGGGGTCAGGCAGCAGGCTGGAGTCTTCTCACTCAGCATGCAGGAACCCCAGACCTGCAGGTCGGGAGACAGAATGCTGGCTCATGTCCCAAGAACCAGAGGTCAGAGGATGACAAGATGAATGCAGGATCGAGAGATGGCACAAGCTTTGCCAGAAGATCCATGTATACTGGATGCAGGCCACACCCCCAAGGGAACTCCCCTTCCAACTGATTGGCTGCTTACATCAGGTCACAAAGTGGAAGGTGATAACATAATGTCTGCCAAACCACGGAGAATCACGGCCAAGTTGGCACAACACTCAGCATCTCGGGGTTTGAAATACCTGTTTTAATTTAGGGAAAGACCTTAAATATATACATGGAAGTAGTTACTTCAGAAGTGTTATTTGCAGATTATCAATACTAAAAAGTTACAATGGATTTTTTTTAGATGAACTGTTTTAAATTTTTTGTTATGTTGACTTTTTTCAACCTGCTTTATAATCCCAAAATAATTCCTACAAGTTCCCATCTGTTTAGTGTGTGGTAAGAGTACTCTGTCCATTTCTGGGAAAGATCAGGAATGTCTAAAACAATGCAGATAATCTTAGGGCCACCTCCTCAAGTTCCCGAACCACCTGAAGACAGCGAGCACTGCTTTTTAAGTGACAAGACGCTGTGTGTTTCAGTTCCCTGTTATGTGATGTCAGACATGAGAATGTTGTTGTTGTTAGGTGCCATCGAGTTGACTCTGACTCACAGTGACCCTGTGTACAGCAGAACAGAGCACTGCCTGGTCCTGTGCCAGCCTCACAATCCTTGCTGTCCCTGAGCCCATTGTTGCACCCCTGTGTCAGTCCATCTCATTGAGGGTCTTCCCCTTTTTTGCTGCCCCTCTACTTTGCCAAGCATGGTATCCTTCTCCAGGGAATGGTCCCTTCTGACAACATGACCAAAGTAGGTGAGACAAAGTCTGGCCATTCTCCCCTCCAAGCAGCATTCCAGCTGCACTTCTTCCAGGACAGATTTGTTTGTTCTTCTGGCAGTCCATGGTACTTTCAGTGTTCTTCACCAACATCACAAGTCAAAGGCATCAGTTCTCCTTTGGTCTTCCTTATTCATTGTCCAGCTTTCACATGCGTATGAGGTGATTGAAAATACCCGTGGCTTGGGTCTGGTGCACCTTAGTCTTCAAAGAGACTTTGCTCTTCAGCACTTTAAAAAGGTCTTTTGCAGCAGATTTACCCAGTGCTATACGATGTCTGATTTCCTGAGTGCTGCTTCCATGGGTGTTGACATTAGAAGTGGATACCTTTTTGCATAGGAGTCTCTTCAGTAGTGAGTACTGAGCTTTGCTTAGCCAGTCAAGTGCCCTACGGGGCTTTGTGATGTGTTAGAAAAACACTGTGACATTAGAGGTTTGGTTCTCTCATGTTACTGTTTTCCATTTCCAAACCTGCTTCTGCTTTTCTGGCCTGCCCCAGTGATGCCTTTTCCTCATCAGCCTGAGGACAGACAATGAGATGTCTGGCTTGCATGGGGCTTTGAAATGGTTCTGCCCTATTCAGTCATGGCTGACAAAGCGAAACAGCAACAAACCCAAATTTGTAAAATCTGGGTATACCAGAACGATAACCAGTATGGGGAAAACCTACAGGTTGACACCCTGCTAGAAAATTGATCTCCCTCTTAGAAAACAAAGGCAGCATGTGCATCGCATAGCTACTGGATCTCTTGACCAGCAGTGTTGGAAGCAATGGTGTCCTGCTCAAAGATGGTAGCCAACTGGGCTGCTTTGAGTATGTGTCACTCTCCACAGTCCTGGCAATAATCCAGTCTCCCACATCAGGCTCGACATCATGGCTCATTATACCTTTTCCAAGTCTCCCATCCCAACCTTTCAACCCATAATTTTCCCTGTTCCAGTTACTGTTCCAGTAGCCCACATTCTACAAATTCAGGTCTGCCCCAGTTTTGTTGCATTGGCCATGACTAAACCAATTAGAACCAGTTTGAGCCTGGGTTTATGCCCATCCCACTGAGCTTCAGGGGTCCAATCTAGTAGTGGCATTCCCTGACTACTTCCTTTTAGAGGTTTGTGAAAGAGAAAAAATAGGAACTACCGATGGCAGTAGAGGTTTGTAAGTAAGAGCTCTGCCTGATGTTAAACAGGTGGCCACTCACCCCAGGAGATAGATGTTTTGCGTTTGAGGTGAAAAGTGAGAAGCTCTTCAATGGTCTGTGAGCTGGAAGCTTCCCCTTCCCCTCACCATGCTGTCCCAGGTGGTAGCATGTGTGGGTGGAAATAACATTATCTCAGAGCCTCGAAGCTACACAATACATTTTCACCTACTATTAGTGGCACTCGTTTTCCACCTTTTCCGTCAGACCCAGAGCTGCAAAAATAACCAACAACAAACAGATGGCACCGTGCCCTGCCTAGGAAGATTTATGTGTTCCTAAGGAGTAACCAGCTTAATGGATATTCATAGAAAGGTTTTTTGTTTGTTTGTTCAGATAATCCAGGTATTCGTTACTGTGTACAGAGGAAATCTGTTCTGTGAAAGACCATTTATCCCTGTGGTCTTTTATAGGGAATAGTTGTATGTATATATGTATATGTGTGTATATATATAGTTTTTTTTTTTTTGCATTGTGCATTTTTAAATACTGAAGTTTTCATAATTTAAATGTTTATCAGGTTTTCCTCTACACACTTACACGATTTTATTCTGGCTTGATTGGGTCAAATGCTACCTGATAGAAAGCAGTCCTCTGAGGCAGCTGACAGTAGTGACATTGCAGTGTTCACCGTTCCATCCTATCGAGAGGTCCATGTGGGGCCTGCCTTAGGTGTGTCAGCCGTCTCTGAAGGAAACAGGATGGCTAAGGAACCCAGCATGGTGCTGTGACCTACCTCCTGCTGGTGGGGCTGGTCTGGAGGCATCCCCATGACTTCACTAGATGTGCCAGAAAGGGTTTGCATCTCTACCCCACAGTCTGCTTGGGCTGGGCCCTTAGAGGTAAATTAACAGTGATCCCAACAAAGCATATTCGCATCAGAGTGCGCTTGGGAAGAAAGTGCAGGTGACACGGTGCCAGCAGGGTGCTCTGGGAGCCTCTTTGAACAGCAGCCAGGTAACTGGCGTCCCAACATTCTCGTCACCAAGTTCCACAGTTGTGTTGTAGGCAGCATACAGGGCCCAAGAAACCTCCCTGTGTAGTAACAAACAGTTACAGGCTTCAGTGAGCAAGTGGTTATTTAAATGGTGTCACTGAGTGTGACAACCGTTTCTTCATGTAAAATGCCAGGAGGTGGGGGATGGTAGCAGTGGGGACATTTTTCCCCCCTCTCAAGAAGTTTCTGTTGTTACTTTTCAAACTATTTGGGTGGAAAGGTTAGAATCATTTAATACTGTGGGCAAAATTACAGTTGTTCGATACTCCCTTACACAATACTTGTGTTGTTAATTGGATTTTATTCATTGACATATGGTTTTATAATACTCAATTGGCGTATACTCATTGGCGTGTAAATCATCATCTTAAAATAGACTTCTCGATTCCAAAAGTTACACCCTGACCATTCGTGGTTCTCCGTGGGCCTCAGCGTAGGGCACTCTGTAATGTGGGCTCTTGCCACCATCCCACCCACAGAATAAATGAAGAACCACGTGCTGCGGTGGCCATGCCGCCTTCCCGACAGGCCAGTGCTGATGCTGTACCAGGCCTTCCTGCTGCGCGGCACTGTTCAATCCAGATGCCTAGCGTCCCGTCACTGTCCCGCCAATACAGGGTAGCCCAGCTCCCCTAGCCTTTACAAAGAGAAAAGTCCCAGTCACGCCCCCACAGTAGCTACGCGTCCCCCACTGTTCTCAGCCACCAAGAGCCACCAGCCACTTGAATGTTTGTGAAGACACCGGTTCCCAGGCTTCTGGCAGCATTTCTGAGCACACGTCACAGCATCTGTGCATCTGATAAACTCCTTGGGTAACTCTTAGAGATGCTTCCTTGAGTTTGAGACCCAGTGGTGAATAGAATTTTTGCACAGTAGTCTCCAGGCAGAACTGCTGTGACCTTTGTTTATCAGAGAACTTGCTGTAATTTAGAAGTTGTTTTAAAAAAATGGATTTAGAAAACTTTGGTGAAATTAGAAGTTGAGAGACGGACAGGCTTTTTCTGCCTCGCACTCTGAGGTCTTTTGCTAAGGATGTCCGTGGTGCCTGATTCAAGTTTATGAAGGTGGTTGTGTTTTTCATCTGTGTGTTTGCTTTAAATGGATGGTTTTAGGTCAGTTGCTGGCCCCTGCGCACACGCACACACACACACATGCCAAAAAAAAAGAGTTGATGGAATATGAAAACTCCCTTCAGCTGTGAAAGTGTGTCCTGAGGTCATGCCAGAGGACTCTAACAGCCCCAGTCTGCCCGTCAGTGGGCCTGTTCTGGAAGCATCAGTCTGGCTAGAAGGAGTTTCGGGAGCTCACCTTGGCACAGCGCTGCATAGCGAGCACCCTGTTGGATTCGGATGGCACTTGTGGGGGAGGCCACTGTTGGAAATGACGGGTGATGGGCTGTCTCAGGGCTGGGCAGGCTCGGTAGCGTGGAGTAGGGCAAGGGCTCTGTCAGGGCCTGGCTGCTCGGGAGAGAAGAGGCTCTCCTCAGAGCTTCACTCACAGCCTTGTAAGCATCATGCTCATGGGGATTTAGATACTGGTCACCTGTCAGAATAGCCATTGACATCTACAGATGTGCACCCAGACGGGCCCTTATGAGTTGTCACAAACAAGGAGTGAGATACCCTTCGGAGTGCGGTATGTTTCATTACCTCCCATGAAAGAAAAGAAC